TGAGAGGTTGGAAATACTACATCAGTGTGTTTTCAGTGTTCTATATATCTTTTTATAGCCATTACTCTGAGCAGTTCTTGCCATTCAACCTTCCCAGAGGCTAGTATGGTGCCTGGCATGAAACTTGATTTTTAGAAGAAAAAAAAACAACTTGATTTTTAATGTGTTTATGGAACTGAGTCAGTGCTAATACAAGCATCTAAAAAAGCCTATGATAAAATATTGGATGGAAGTATATAAGTGCTGCTCCAATGTAATTAGACATATTATTTCAATAAATATAATAACATACTTTAAATACTTTAACAGTACAGTTTTCATGATGATGCTTGCATCTGTTCTATTATTTGTTCTCGAGCACAACTGAAATAAAAGGGGAATTCAACTAGTTAATCTTGGTTACATCCAGTCACTTTCAATTTGACATGGGTTGTGGTCTGTGATCATATCATGCGGGAACATGAAATAAACATTTTTCAGAGTGAGTCAAAAGGACTTTGTTCTACTTTTGAGATGTTCACTACATGGGTAGCAATGAGCAGGACCTGCTGTGGTGGCAAATTACAGGAAGAAAAAATCTCACTGCTGAACAGGAAAGACGGAGGTAGTGTGGGTATGGCTGCTTTGAAAGGGATGTATAACCCAAGAACTAGGATGAAAATTGAAGATTAAGTGCAGTAATTAGCAAAATGGGTAATAACAAAATAGCAATCATAGTTGATATGTGTCCATTGCTTGCTATATGTCAGGCACTGTTCTAAGCACTTTATTCTTATATTAACCCAGTGGTTGCCTTCATAGCAATGAAATCAGAATGTCTTAGGTTAGGGACCAAGCATCGATAATGCTTAAAAATCCCCCAGGTAATTCCAATTTGCAGCAAAGACTGGGAACCACTCAATGATCCTGCAAGGTACATACTCACGTTACTATTTCCATCTTCTCAGGGTGGAAACTGAGTCAGAAGTTTCCAAGGTCGAAAGCTGAAAAGTTGAGACATGAATCCAGGTGGTCTGATTCCAGAACCCTTGATCTTACCCACCTCAGTGGCTCCCCTGGGCTTCAGTGGCATTTCTAGTGAGCAGCCTAGACTTTTATGAGTTGAAGGACATTTTCAATGCATGTCTTAAAAAATAATCATTTTAGGAAGTTATAGCCTATTCCTATGCAGTTTGGTTCCTACCTCTATCTGGGATACTTGTGTCCCTGGGCAGTACCTATCTTTACTGTGCACAAAGCTGTCAAACCGGCCCTTCCCTCGGCCCCAATTCCTTAGCCTCTCCTCCCAGATGTTACCAGTTTGCTGTATCTCAGAGCCCAACACCAGTGATTGTAATTGTGAAAGAGGAAGGGGCCCAGGCAGGGGTAAAGCAAAGCAGGGTGAGCAGAGCGGTTCTTCCTATGATGAGGCCCTGGTGTCCAGGTTTTGACTGCTCCATGGCAATTACTAAGGCTTCTTTTGTTCAGCCTCTGCTCAGGCTTCTAATTCCTCATATGTCTTTCTACCTTCATCTTCAACCTAAAGTTATGCCATATGATGGGACTTCCAGGGCCTAGGTTTTCTGCTTAGCTTTGCCACTGTTAGTATATGACTGGGCGAGAGTAAGCTGATAATCTCTTCCAGACTCATGAGCTGTGTGTCATTGTAAATGAACTTGGGAAGTCTGCTTGGCTAAATAAATGTCTGGCTCGAAGTTCAGTGTGTACTTCTGCGGACTGCTCACTGATTTCCAGGCCTTCAGAGCCACCATCACCACTGGTTTCGAAGCCCATTATGAACTTGGGTATCCTGTCTGCAATGGACAATCTTGATCATAGTTATCAAGGTCCAAGCAATTACCTTTTAGTTAGAACTTGCGGCAGGATATCACTCATCCTTTAACCCCCTCATAGCAACTGCTTATCTAGTGCAAGGGCACATTCACTAAGTTAGTTAGAACTTGCGGCAGGATATCACTCATCCTTTAATCCCATGGCAATTGTTTATCTAGTGCAAGGGCACATTCACTAAGCTGGGCATTGGGCCTGAGGAGTCACCCAGATGTGAGACCCTCCCAGGGAGCATGTTTCCTTCCTCGGCTTGGATTTTGAGGTGTGTTCATCATGACCATGGCCTAGGCATTTGTTGCAATAGTTACAGTTTCTCTCGGGCGAGATTGTGCTCAGTGCAGTGAAATCACACAAGCCCACCCAAAGCTGCAACTTAACCCGGCCACGGAGCTCTTCTCAGTTCCAAGTTCAGGTGCTGAACACCCCAGGCTGACCCCAGGGGCCAACGTGAGGGAGAGTGGCAGTTAGAATTTACATAGCAACCGGGAGGCTCCCAAACACCGTGCATAAACCCCCTGGTTTATTCTTTATCTGTCAAAAAAAGAATTCTGTTTTGTCATTATGAAACCCAACTGGGGAGAGAAAAAGCAACAACTGATCATTCTTGCTTCCATAAGTCGTTTCTGAAAGACCTAAATAACTCACTAGTAGTAACAGATTTCATCGGTGTTCTAACTGCCATGGCTATTTTTTCTTAAAATGGTAAATTCAAGAGCAGGCTATCCCCACCCCACACTTCCCTGCATTTAATTAGCAAAGGTAAAATATTACATGAACAAAGAAAACGCTCAGGTAGCAAAAGGGGAGAGAACTGAGGGCCCGATTCCTCAGAAGACAAAAAGGAGTCAGTCAGTCGTGTCCTCTTGGTGACCTAGGTCACCGGGCTGGGGTAGGACAGGGCAGCTGAGGTGACGGGTGTCCAGGGCAGGTGCAAACAACACTGAGGGAGCTACAGAGGGTGTGAAGGAGGAGAGTTCCTGAACCCCCAGGCCTTGGTCAGCCCCAGCACACATCTGGCTTTTGCTCTTCTGGGGATCAGAACACACAGTCCAAATGAAGTCCAACTCCCGAGAAGTTTGGAGGGGGACTCTGGGACCTGCGTGGACTCACACAGCCACACTCCGCAGGTAGCTTCAGATTCACCACCCACCCCAAGTGCTGCCGATGCCACAGCCCCATCTAGGGCCGGCCCCTTGTGAGGACCAACCATGGCCAGCAGGATGTGCCAGAGGCTGGGCCACGGCCGGCGATGACTGCTTTAATCATTTCCATGAGGCCCAGTATCTTTTGGACAGATCAAGAGAACTCTAAACAACCCTTGGACATTTGAATCTCTGTATTTCACATTTTTGGAGCTTGTCCTGATGTAAATACAATAATAGACTTTGAACATTGAAAGTGGGTGTATTCTAGGCTTTCAAAAGTTTCCGAATTCTTGAACAATATATTTTTTCCAGAACATGTAGAGTACCTCCAATATTAGAGTAACTGCCTCAGACTCACCAGGGAACAGAGTAATAACAATTAAAAAAATAACAAAATCTTGCTGAGTGTCCCACTTAACAGGTACAGTGACTGTTTGTGACTGCTAAGTGACTGCTGTTTAAAGGAAGCTACTCTTCAAAAGTGTGCCTCAGTGAAATGATAGATGTCCACATGTCACTGACCTTCAGGGTCTTTCCAAAGTGGGAACTCTGTGAGGGTGAAGGGTCTGTAATGAAACAATAGCTCTTGCAAATATTGTTTCCCAAAGAAGAAACTAAGGACTTCTAACACAAACGCCCGTCCTGTGACTTGAGGACCCCTAGTGGTCACTGTAGTAATAACTCCTTCTGAACACTAAGCTTCTGGAGAATATTTCAACACCATTTTCAAATGCATGTATATGCTGTGATTAATGAAATAAAATGCACTTAACATGAAAATATTATAATGACATTGTTAAAAGAAATATATCAAAGGTACTACCACTAATTGGAGAGCTGGATGCTTTGGGGTGACACTAAAAAAAGTTGTAAAGCCCAGCTTTAGAGAACCATCACATAGGGCAGCTGCTCTCTTGTTGATAAACAGCACCTTGAGTAGTTGGGTCTACTCAGGATAACAGGAATGCTCGATACAACTCAACCAGAAACAGAATTGTATTAATTATAAATATCACACTAACATTTATTGCAAGTTTAGAAGAAGATCATTGACCTGCAAGGAGAATTTGCAGCTTTGACCAAATACCAAGTGGCACAGTCACAGAGAGTGCACTATATGATCAAATTAGAACATTTCTCCACATTGGAACTCAGGCTTCCACTGGCTGTCTCTGGAAACTGTGAGTCAACACCATATGGAAAACGTGGCCTCAGTTCAACCAAGTTTTTAATTCACCCTTTAAAAAATGCACACAGACACACATAAAGGCACTATCAACAGTAAGTTATGACCTGGCCAGTGTGGCCCAGTGGTTGAACATTGAACTATGAACCAGGAGGTCATGGTTCGATTCCTGGTCAGGGCACATGCTCGGGTTGCAGACTTGATCCGCAGTGGGGGCGTGCTGGAGGCAAATGATCGATTCTTCTCATCATTGATGTTTCTCTCTCTCCCTCTCCCTTCTCTGAAATCAATTAAAAAATATATATTTTAAAAAAAGAGTGAGTTATGTCATGCCTTGGCTCAGCTGTGTGTGTGTGTGTGTGTGTGTGTGTGTGTACTCTCTTGTCCCTCTAAATTAAGTGTAATCACTCTGTCTTTATTGAAATATTTTCTTAGATTGCCTGATTTCCAGTGTTAGTAGTCTCCTGGGGAAGTTGGGCAAGTAAGGTGTCTTTAATAGAAAGACAGCAATCTAGAATTAATAAGACAATTTCTTTTTTTCTCTTATAGTTTCCCCCTACACCTAAAATCCTACCACACAGCACTTAGAGTGTCAGGGGAGGGGAGGGCAAGATCTCCCAGGAAGCGGTGGGCGTGGGATGGCAACACATCAGGATTCACATTCTCATTTCTGGTATCAAAGGAGGGTCGGCGAGAAAGCCAGTGATGCATAACCTTCCTTGCGGTCAGTTAAAACCGGATAATGCATTTTCATAACGATGTGTTCGTAATGACAGACACACACACATATGAGAAAGGCGCAAAAAAAAATTTACTCTTCAATCTCAGAGACACAAAGATACTTAAGAAAGAGAAGTTTTATTAGGGCAATTTCACTTTATTTTTCCATACAGCAAAGTCAACTACTGCGGTAATAATAAAATAAGCGTAAAACAAATCGCAGCCCAAGACAAAATACATAATTGTAAGCAACTACAAGCAGAAAGTAAGTTGTGATTACATAAGAGTAAAACCAAGCACATCTGTCCTGTCAGCAGATGAAAGGGGTGGGGTTGCCGGTAAGTGCAACGCGGGAGCCAGCTGGAGCGAGGGGCTGGCTACACAGATTCCTTAAACAAGTGCCCGTGATCACATTCGCTCTTTTGAGTGCTTCTGAGTTGCAAATTAGAACCATGAACTTTGAACTGTGTTTTATCTTTTCACCTGCTGAAAGAACAGGCTTGCTACAGCAATTAAAAAACAATCACAGAACAACTAGAGCTACACTGTGCTGTTTGGTTTGCCTGTTTATAGTTTCAATTTTGTGAAAGTCATTACTTGTTTTGAAGATTGGTGTGTGTGTGTGTATGTGTGTGCGCGTGTGAACAATAAACCACTGAAATTGGCAGAAACTGATTAGCATAATACGTCCTTAGTATAGTTCTGTCTCTCCTTTTTGTTGTTGTTGTCGTTGAAGCTTTAAACATGCAGTAGTTTTGAAAAATGTGAGGAATATCTGATCCATGATTTCACCTTAATGGTTGAAGTACCTGCTATTTTTGGTAATGGTCTTCAGGCAGATTTGGCCCAGTGGAGTTTTTGTCAGTCATGAGATCTCGGAAGGATGGCATATCTTTCCAGCTGAAAAAATCCTGGCAAACTACAAGCTGTCCACAAAAAGCAAAGCAACATGTTTGAAGGGGTACGGAGTGCTAACTCGGTGCCACTTTTGCAAGCAATTTTGCTCAGTCTCATTTTATTAGCCTTAACAAAACTCCTTGTAATTATAGACGTTTTTATTCAAAATAAGATCTTACTATTATACAGGTTTCTCTCTTTTGACTATATACAGAAGTGCAAAAAGTCAACCTTCTCTCTAGACGTCCCAACATGCTCAATTGCAGCATAATCAACCCTCAAGAGTTTGCACACACGCTTTAATTCTCATTACGTAAACTTTGAGTATTTGGATTATCAACAAAAAGTCCCTTGTTCTATTTATTGATTATGCAGCTTATTTATAACAAGGCCTGATATTCAGGGATTTCAAAAATATTAAACAATACTTTAACATTTGAAATGGATACAGTAGAAAATAAATTTTATTCTAATATCTAGGTTCTAGAGATCCTCTTATAATAACTAATTACAAACAAAATAAATCATCAAAATATTACTCAATTGTCTGCCAGGATTGTTGCGATAGCAACAACTTAACTTCTTACTTAGCAATGATTATATATTTATAAGATATCCATATAAAAGATCTTTGTTCTTTTAATGAAAACTAGACAAGAACTAACAATGACTGACATTCTTACACTTTAATATTAAATCAGTAAAATATAAATCATTTAGTTAACAATAATACGAATATTCATATGACACTACATGTAATTCAAAACTGAGTATGTTATGAAGGAAAAACTACTTTAAAGTTTTTTTTTGTATTTTGAAAAATTCATCAGTAAAATCTAATAAAACAAGAGTCTATAAACTGAAATGGTATTCAATTGTTAATACAAAATGAAATCTAATAAGTGTAGGAAATGAAAAACTACATTTTAACAAGAAAAATAAGTAATATTCTACAATGTAACTAACTACAATAACATGTGAAGTCACCATTACTCTCTTAACACGATTGAAATTACATTGGTATGGGTTCCAACCCGTAATGTAATAATCTAAGGCTTTAATAGATGTACAGTACAATCAGTAAAATCAACACATCAGTCTTATATTAGAAAGCATCTCTCTCAAGCATAAAAACTTGCAGTAAACTTGGAAGTATGGAAAGTTCTACAACTGAACTTTCACCTCTCCCATTCCACACTATAACTACCAGTGACCTGGCCCCTACTTCAGCAGCTGGCAGAACTGCTGACCAGAGCAAAAATACCCTTACTAGCTGCAACACCCAAACCACAAAAAGGGAATTCCTTTGGATGAATCCATTCTTAAAAACTGAATGCACATCTATTTTTTTTTATAATTTTGTAAAAGGCTTTCTAAGGCTATAAGCAGTTAATCTGAACAAAACAAAAGAAATCACATATAAAATCCCCCCAAGTATGTAACCCACCCGATTGCTAGGTAAATGAAACACCTCCCGTTTTCATATTTTGGTTTATCATGCATCTGATGACAGTGCTGCTTTCTTCTTTGTTTAGAGTCACTATTTTCAACGTGACTGTGGTGAAGCATTTAAGCAAACGTGGAACCATTTTTGCAAAGCATTTATAGTCTTTTGACTTTGACAGAGCTATAAATAGAAGCAAAATAATTTCCTCAAACATTTTTTTTGTTATCGTGTCTCAGAAATGGCATATCCCTTTTGAATATCATGTTAGACAGTATAGTATGCATAAATATTACACTACAATGCATTAAAATAATTATATATATATATAATCTATTATATATATCTCCAGTATGTGTGAGTTTATCTGTATTGAGAGAAATTGTGTTGTGCTGTTCTATTGTTACTGTGGTTACATTGGCCATTTCTGAGACAGCTTTGGTTTCCCAAAAAAAAAAAAAAAAAAAAAAAAAAAAAAAAAAGAATGGTGCCCTTTGACTGATTAGTACTAGCAAATAAGCAACAAAAGGTGGCTCTGAAAACAATAACACTGAAGAAATAATACTCTAATTTGATGTACAGTCTATGGCACTTCATGAGAATCCTTTACAACATGGTACTTAAAGCCATGATGTGCTTTAAAAGATACACAGTTGTGGTTTTGCTTGGCACATTCATCTCTGTCAGATCCCTCCCTCGCCGCATCTTACAATCTATTACATTAAAAATATTACTCTTAAACAAAAATGACTGTGCATGCACGCTCTCACCTCTAATGGCAATTTTAAATACAAGGTGCACCTTTGTTATTTGTAAACCTTGAAAGAAATAAACTTATTTTTAAAAAATTATACCTTGGTCTACAGACGTACCAATACATAAGAGAATCGTGGTTACACCATAGTCTGTCTTTTCAAGATGGCATGAATCTATTAGGAAACTAATTAGGTATGCATCTTTTAATGCATAACTCTGTGCTAGAAAAGAAAGACGATGTTGTTCTTTTATAGACAGGTATATCACCTCAGCACGAATATCAATTAAATGTACAAAGTGTATAGGCAACAGTGTGCAGTGGGTTTCCATGTTGTCTTCTCTTCTGGTTAACATGCAATATGTGGATGTCTTGTGGCTGAGGGGTTTTTGTGGGGGTTGCTGGACGGTATATACAATATGGCTAATGACTTCGTCCTTTCCTCTAACCAAGCACACTGTCCTTTCCTCTTTAGTATGATCTACAAGGGAAGAAAGACAGAGTCTTTGTTAAAACAGGCGACATCTCACAACAGTTTCCAATACATACTTACTAGGAAAATTATATTGCTTGAGTTAGTGTGAATGCATGCACATTATAACATCTTCATATAAAAACAAGAAACGCCGCACAAGTACAAATGGATCTACATTTGCTGACCCTCTCTATGAGAATACAATGACAGGCAGAGCTTTGTGAAATTCTAGACTCTTCTCAAAGACTAAGCTAAAAGTGTAAAACAAATTTGCAGAATCAAGGGACAAAACATAGCTGAGCTCTTTTTTAGCACTATCGTGGTGGGGCAGAATTTAAATTCATTTTACTTCTCTGCTAAAGTCAATAGGTTTCAAGAGTAACGCTTTGGCTTACAAAATTAAGATCCATGCAACAAGCCCTATTAAACACGATTCACTATACAGATGGTCTCTGACTTATGGATGGGCTCGACTTACATTTCTTTGACTTTGCACTGATGCGGGAATGCTAAGCACTCAATAGAAACCAGCTACTAAGCTATGATGTTGGATAGGTGAGGTTTACTAAATGCATTTTCAACTTATAATGGGCTTAGGGGGACTGAATCCCATCATAAGTCGAGGAGCATCTGTATTTGGGTGCTTGATTAGCACACTATGTGTTTAGAGGGGAAAAAGAATAATACTTTTAACTATTTTGGATCATTTAACATTTGGAGCAATTTTTTCCTACAGCCAAGAAAAAGTAATATCATTCCTTAAGTTCCTGACAAATTTAAATGAAATAGATTGTACTTGTAAGTAGATCTGTTTTTTATACAAAATTTGTTCTCATCAGAGAGTTTTCACATATTAAAAGCATACTTTAGAATACAACCTTGAGAATGAAAGAAACCACCATTTTGCTGCACTCAAAACCAGTTTAGCCCTAGCCGGTTTGGCTCAGTGCATAGAGGGTTGGCCTGGGGACTGAAGGGTCCCAGGTTCGATTCTGGTCAAGGGCACGTGCCTGGGTTGCTCGATCCCCAGTAGGTGGCGTGCAGGAGGCAGCCAATCAATGATTCTCTCTCATCATTGATGTTTCTATCTTTCTCTCCCTCTCCCTTCCTCTCTGAAATCAATAAAAATATATTTTAAAAAAAGTTTAAATACTGCAACTCATGAAGAGAACCAATCATTTGTTATATAAATCCTATATAATAAAACCCTAATATGCAAATCAACCAAATGGTGGAACAACTGGTCGCTATGATGCGCACTGACCACCAGGGGGAAGACGCTTAACGCGGGAGCTGCCCCCTGGTGGTCAGTGTGCTCCCACAGGGAGAGCACTGCTCAGCCAGAAGCCAGGCTCTTGGCTGGTGAGCACAGCAACACAAAGGACCCCTTGGGGGATGTCTGCCTGCCAGCTTAGGCCCACTACCAGGAGCGGGCCTAAGGGTGTGGGCCTAAGCCGGTAGGCGGACATCCCCCAAGGGGTCCTGGACTGTAAGAGGGCACAGGCCAGGCTGAAGGGCCCCCTCCTCCCACTGCACAAATGTCATGCACCAGGCCTCTAGTATACTACGAAGAGCCTAAGCTTCAACACAGACAAATCCACTGGTTTGCTAAGTGCTAGACTTAAGGTCATTTGGTATCATTTTTTGCAACCTGGATTATTGCTAAGAAATAGAAAA